AAATTCTAATTTAAGTCAAACTTAAATTAATTTGAATTTTAAATTGAACAACTTATCAAATAAGTTTAAATGGATAAATCTAGATGTGTTCAAATTCAAATTTAAATAATCACATTATTTAAATAATAATTAATTGAGAATTAATTATTATTTAAATAATGAGATTATTTAAATTTGAATTTGAACATATCTAAATTTATCCATTTAAACTTATTTGATAAGTTGTTCAATTTAGAATTCAAATTAATTTAAGTTTGACTTAAATTCGAATTTGAATCTGAATTAAAATTGGACTACTGGATAAAGGATAGTGCCACACACAAGGGATAGAAACCCTACATGGCCGGCCACTTAAGGGATAAGGTGTAGGAGATTTTTTGTTCCAAATTCATATAGGAGATAGAGATTTGAGATTCTATTTTGAAGTTTAACTTCTACTCTTTAAATATGAGAAAGATAGAAAATTGTAAAAACAATTTTTGACATATTATTCAGCCCTAAGTTTGTTGTGGCCGAATTTCTCATAGAGTGAAAAATAGAGAGCAAAATTTTTCTCCAAAAATTCCACATCGTGCATGCGTTGGTGTTTGTGGAAATTCGAGTGTTTCAGAAACCTATTTTGTCTCATGTGTGCCCACACACACGTCTACGTAGAATCAAGGAATTGACATGGAAGACTTTGGTATTCTAAACACAAAGCTTGGAGCAAGGACTGTTCGTGGTCAAAGAAATTCAAGTTATCATCCGAGTCGGCTTCCAGGTATTTTTCGGTTGATCCTTGAATGATGTAAATTAATGTGATTAATTTATTCGTGCATAAATTAATATAATCTATAGAGTATGTCAAAAGATTTATGAAAAAATTTTGTTATACACGATCTGCTATTTCCTACCACGCTTCCGCACCCGAATTCGATTCGGGAACCAGCACTTACCGGAGAGGCTTTCCAAAATGTAGGTGCCAGGACGCAATACTTCTCTTATTCAGTAGGGTCCTTCCCAAGTTGGGCCCAGAGGACCAGTATTTTTGGGTTTTGTACTATGTGTTACCCTTTTTAATACTAAGTCTCCTGGGGCAAACCTTCGTTGTTTGACTTTTTTGTTGTAGTATCGGACTGCCCTTTGCTAGTAGGCGGCAAGGCGTAACTGGGAGTCGAGCCTTTTTTCTTCTAATAGGTCGAGTTCTCCATTCATGCCTTCTATAGTACCGTCGTCATTGTAGACTACAGTTCTTAGAGTCGGTGTCTCAATTTCTATGGGTAGTACTGCCTCGACGCCATACGCCATGGAGAATGGCGTTTCACCCGTGGTACTTCATCTCGTCATTCTGTATGCCCACAAGACCTTGGGGAGTTTCTCTGCCCATTTTCCCTTTAGACCGTCGAGTTTCTACTTCAGGGTATACTTTAATATTTTATTAACTACTTCCACTTGCCCATTAGATTGTGGGTGTATCGGCGCTGAGAAATCCTTTCGAATGCCCAAGCTGTCGCAGAATCTTCGTGTTGAGGCATTATCGAACTGCTTGCCATTGTCGGACACTATCGAGTGGGGGACCCCGAACCTGCACATAATGTTGCTCCATATGAAATTGGTCCAAGCTACTTCTGTGGTTGTAGTTAGAGCCTTTGCCTCTGCCCACTTTATATAGTAGTCTACTGTGACGATGGCAAACTTAAAGCCTCCGGGTGCAAGGTGTAACGGCCCGGTTAAGTCGACCCCCAATTTAGCGAAGGGCCACGGACTGAGAATGGAGGTTAGGTTTTCTGGGGGTGCTCTAGGAATTGTGGCATATCTTTGGTATTTATCGCAACGCCGAGCGTATTAGTATGCGTCCTTCTTAAGCGTGGGCCAGTAGTACCCTTGCCTCAAAACCTTAAGAGCTAAAGACTGCCCCCCAGTATGATTACCGCAGACTCCTTCATGGATTTCCTGGAGGACCTCCTGGGCTTCATCATTGTCCAGGCACCGCTGTAAAGGTGTCGAATAGCCTCGTCGGTAGAGCAAACCGTCGTACAACAAGTATCTAGCGGCACTATACCTGATCCGTCGGGCCTCGTATTGTTGTATGGTAGTTTTGCATCCATCAGGTACTGGATGAGCGGCGTTATCCAACTTTTGCCTGTGTGGATGATTAATGTCTCAATCACTTCCTCAATGGTCGGCCGCTCTAATTCTTCAATAGGAACGACCCCCAGTGCGTCGGAGTCTTTTGAAGATGCTAGCTTTGCCAGAGCGTCGGCGTTGGTGTTTTCGGCTCGTGGTATCTGAAGTATCTCGTAGTTTTTGAACTTGACGAGTTCCTCCTTCGCCTTCCTTAAGTACGCACCCATTTTCTCACCACGCGCTTGGTATTCTTCTTTTACTTGCCCGACGATCAATTGGGAGTCGCTGAAGATGCTGAGCCTTTCAATTTTCAGGTGACTGGCCAATCGCAGCCCTGCAATTAGCGCCTCGTATTCTGCCTCGTTGTTTGACGCCTTAAATTTAAATCGAACCGCCGAGGTAATCTTGTAACCTTTTGGGCTAATCAACAGGACGCCGGCTCTTGACCCGTTATCGCTCGACACTCCATCCACGTAGAGCTTCCATTCTGTTCTCTTGACTTCTTCTGGTGTGGTGGGAGTCGGTCTATGGGAGAATTCAGCCAGGAAGTCGGCCAGTGCTTGGCCCTTAATCGCTGCTCTTGGTACATATTTGATGTCGAACTGGCTTAACTCCACCGACCATTTGAGGAGCCGACCAGAAGTTTTGGGTTTTTGCAGCGCCTGTCTTAATGGGTGATTTGTGAGAACCCGTATCGTGTGAGATTGAAAATAATGTCGGAGCTTCCTCGAGGCTACCATCAAGGCGAGGGCCAAGCGTTCCATTTCGGTATATCTTGACTCGGCATCGAGGAGTCTTTTGCTCACATAGTAGATTGACAACTGGACCCTTTCTTCTTCTCTTATCAGCACGGAGCTTACGGAGTGTCGAGACACAGAGAGGTATAGGCTGAGCTCTTCATCGGGGATGTGCTTTGATAGGATTGGGGGCTTGCCCAAGTGCTCCTTTAACTTCTGAAAGGCCTCTTCACATTATGGTGTCCATTCAAAGCGCTTACTTCCTTTTAAGGCATCGAAGAAGGGGACACACTTGTCTGTTGCCTTTGATATGAACCTGTTCAGAGTGGCGACGCACCCTGTCAACCTCTGCACCTCCTTTGGTTTAGTTGGGGACCGCATATCCTGCAGGGCTTTAATCTTTTCAGGGTTAGCTTCTATTCCCCGGCTGCTGACCATGAAACAAAGGAATTTCCCTGATCCAACTCCAAAGGCGCATTTTCGGGGGTTCAGTTTCATGTGGTATTTTCTCAGTATATCAAACATTTCACCCAAGTGGTCGACGTATTGGGTGGCCCTGACACTTTTTACCAGCATATCGTCGACGTAGACCTCTATTGATTTTCTGAGCTGTTGAGCGAACATCTTATTTACGAGCTTTTGGTAGGTAGCCCCCACATTCTTTAGGCCAAAAGGCATTACCTTATAGCAGTAGAGGTCCCTGTTAGTTATGAAGGATGTGTGCTCCTCGTCGGCTGGGTGCATGGGGATCTGGTTGTACCCGGAGTAGGCATCCATAAAACTCAACATCTCATGTCCTGCTGTGGTGTCGACCATCTGGTCTATCCGAGGGAGTGGAAAACCATCCTTCAGGCAGGCTTTGTTGAGGTCGCTGAAATCAACGCATGTTCTCCAACTTCCGTTTGGCTTGACCACCAACACGGGATTTGAAACCCATCGCGGGTAATGGGCCTCCCTGATGAATCCATTGTTGATCAATTTATCGACCTCATCTTTTCGCGCTTCGTACCTCTCTGGGTTCATCGGTCGATGCTTCTGGCGCTTGGGGGGATATGAGGGGTCAATGTTCAGAGAATGACACATGACCTCTGAGTCGATCCCCTCCATGTTAGCATGATTCCAGGCGAAAACATCTAGGTTTTTCTTGAGGAAGCCCTCGACCTTAACCCTAAGGGATGGAGTTAGGTTTGAGCCTACTTTTAGTATTTTGGTTGGTTCGCCCTCATCGACCTGGACCTCTACCAACTTCTTGACGGGTTGAGACCATGTGACCTCCTCCTGGATCCTGGGATCTAGGTCTTCGATGGTGCTGTGATAAACCATCATAGCCTCCTGTCTCCCTGGCTGGTCATATCCGCGCAGGGCATCGAAGTATGCAACCCTTGCCTCGTACTGGTTGCTCTTCATTTCACCCACGTCATTTTGGGTAGGAAACTTGACTTTTTGGTGGTAAATGGAAGTGATTGCCCTCAGCGCCTAGAGGCCTGGTCTTCCTATCACGGCATTGTACTGGGAGCCTCCCTTTATTACCACAAAATTAGCCATTGTAGTGGCCTGTCGAGGCTTCTCCCCTGCGGTTATGGGCAGTCGGACAGTCCCTTAGGGGATGACGGAGTCCCCCGTAAAGCCGTACAACGGTCTGGAGGTCTTTTCTAGCTGTTCCTTTGGAATCCCCATCTTTTCTAGGCAGTCAGAGTATAGGTGGTCTACCGAGCTCCTGTTGTCCACTAGGATCCGGCACACAGTGTGGTTCCCAATCATGGATTATACTACCAACGCATCGTTGTGGGGGAAGTGAACTCCGTTGGCATCGTCTTCATTAAACGCTACGTCGGGGCTGCTGAATCTTGGTGTTTTTACGGCGGAGACACTCCAGAAACTTTCCTGGTAAACCCCTCTAGCCTCGTGGGCATAGTCCTTCTGAGATCTCCTTGAATCTCCTCCTATATAGGGGCCGCCGAGGACAGTTCGTATGACGCCGATGGGTTCTCGGTCCTCGGGGCGCTGGTTCTTGTCTCGGCGTCGACCGTCATTCTGGCCGCCGTGGCCATCGTTTCTAGGTCTCCGCTCGGCTTTGAACTCCTGTAGCCTCCCCTCGCGGATCACTCTCTTAATCTCATCTTTAAGATCGGCGCAATCGTTAGTGTGGTGGCCGACGTCGCCGTGGAACCTGCAATACTTCTTTTGGTTCCTTCGGCTAGGGTCTGGCTTCATTGGCTCTGGGCGGTGCAGTAGATTCCCGCGGCCGACCTGATTGAACACTTCCTCGGCTCCTATTGTTAATTCATGGTAGAAATCATACCTTTGAAACGGTCGAGGCTTACGGTTCTCTTTTTGCCTCGGCTTCTTGGTTTCTGGAGTGTTTGACGTCGAGGAGGGCTGCTTGTCCCCGCTTCCTCCACCTCGTCGCTTCTTTCCATCACGCTTTGCTAGCGTCGACCCTTGTTCGGTCCCCTTGTTCTTATTGGACCTGTGCTCAGGGTCATTCGCATCCACTTCTTCAGCGTTAATGTAGCCTTGCGCTCGTGCAAAGAATTCCTTATAACTGGATGGAGGTTTTCGGTTCAGCTATCTCTTGAAAGGGGTTATTTTCTTCATGCTAGACAATGCCCCCATCAAGGCCTTCCGGTCGGTTATGTCCTTCATGGCGGCAACAGCTTCCCCATATCTTGCGAGCCACTCCCTCAGCGATTTGTTCAGCTTTTGGTATATCGTCGTCAGATTGTGCTTTGGGGGGACATATTTTTTAACCCTTATAAACTGGAGGGAAAATGCTTCCTTCAACTCATCCCAGCTTGAGATAGAGTTTGGCTTCAGCGTCCGAAACCATCTTCGGGCAGAGTCCGTTAAATGGTTCCGGAAGGCTCGGCACATAATCTCATCGGCGTACCCATGTAAGAGCATGTGCCCTGCGTACCTCCAAGTGATTGTCGGGATCCCCTCGACCGTCATATGGTGGGATCGATGGTAACCTGTATTTATCGGGGAGAGGTGGCGCCATTATTTCCGCGGTAAATGGATGGTCGTGTGTGTGGCTAGGCGTGATGTCGACGTTTACTACCTCGGCCACTCGCCCTATGTTCTTTTTTAGGCCGGCGACGTCGCCCGTGAGTTTTTACTCTAGGTTGGCCATTCGCTCCATAATGGCGCACGCTTCTTCGGCCGAGATGGCTGAGCCAGCTACTCTCGACGCCTCTGCCCTTTGGGCGTGAGGTCCGCCCCTTGCCTGCCCGCGTGCCTGTACTGACCCTGAGTCTCCCAGTGGGTTTCCTCCTGGGTTCTGGGGTAGCACCTCGGGGTTCCCCAAACCTCTCGCTATCCGGTCCTCGGGAGCCCGAAGCCCGACGGCCCTTAGACGGCTGCCGGAGGATTGGGAAGGTCGAGGCCTAGGATGGCCTCTATGGTTCTCGCTGTCCCCGACTCCTTCTAGGTCATGTTAGCGGTCACCGGGGTTGTGGTTTTCAGCCATGGCTGCTCCCGGCGGCATTGGGGCGTATTCTAGAGGCGGCATAGAGTTCCTTCCGTCCAAGCGCTTGACTACAACCATTAGTCCACGTACCAGGTCGGTTAGAGTGATTAGTTGGGCCTGCATTTGTACAGGGTCCGGCCGCGGCACCTCTGGGAGCGGGACTTCGTTTCTGACTGGAGGTGGACCCTCGTGACCCTCCTCCATCCCGTCATTCACCGAATGCGTGGCGGTTTCGTCCATTTGGCTGCCTTGGTTGATGACCTCAATCCTTCTTCTTGGAGGCATGTTTGCTGACTATGTCGTTGTCGGGGGTCAAACGCATGAACCAGAGATTCTGGGTTCGGTCCCCAGTGGAGTCGCCAATTGTTGACGGTAAAAACTCGTCAACAGAAATAGGCCGGGTCACCACTAGGTATCCCGTTGGATTACCGGCTTAATATTGACTGTATACTCAATATATGCAGTGAAGTGTTTATGGTCTTTTTTGTGTAGTGAGCAATATGAGCAAAAAAATACTTGAAGTAGAAAAAACACAAGATTTATAGTGGTTCACTCTTATAAAATGAAGAGCTACATCCACTGTAGATTTCTATTTCTTTTGAGCTTGTTACAATTTACACCATAAATCGCTCTCTCGTTCTTTTCTCTCAGAAAAGATCAACCTCCTTTCTGTATGAGACTTCTCTCCTTTATATAGCCGAGATTCCTTCGTCGGGTGGGTTTTCTTTGTAGGCTGAAAAGCACTCAAGTGGTCTGTCTTTCTAGGCCCAGACCGTAGCCCACTAATCACTTTTGTGCACTGTTCACTCAGCCAATTAGTCTCCCATTACGGCTCTATGCGTAGCTGTAACCCTTTTCTGTCCCCCGTAGGGCAGTTTAAGGGTTTGCATTTAATGTCTGTACTGCAGACATCTCTCATTTCCACACGCAACTTGCGATGTCAGGTTTTCCCCTCTTCGGGCATTCCTCTCGCCATCTCTATCTGCTCAGCCTAGTTTTCTTTCTTGGCAATTGATTTCTTTCTGAAGGATTCCTGCCGTAAGGTCGACGGTACGAACTGTCGTCGTCATGAGGAGTCGCCGTCGAAGGTTGAGCTTCCCTTGTAGCAGAAGGAAAGGGAATCCCCCCATCGAGGGTTGTTGCCTCTTAAGGGAAAGCAGAGCCACATGTCGCACTGTTATTTGCCCACGCGTCATCCACATTTACCCACACAACCGTGTGAGTTTACCACCGAGCAATATTTTGCAACCACCATTTGACTTACATATGATCAATATTATTTCTAAATATTAACTAAATATTTTTTTTATTAAGACAAAAATAAAAGCCAAGTAGGGGTGTGAAAAGGGTAAAGTATATATAGTGAAGTGGGTGTTTGTCTGTGTTAGTGACATGCAAGAAAAGGTTTCGCTGTACTTGGCCCTTATTGCCCTGAGTTCACACCAGACATACTTAATGTTTGTCTGTGTCAAGGACTTGGGATTCTAATAAAGGTCTTAATTGAGGATAATATCTATGCAATTTCGTGGAATTGATATTGTTGAGAATATATATATATATATATGTAAATACTTAAAAAGAATCCGCACTCAAATTGTCCATTTTTCTCTTGATGCTTTTCTTGGTTACATAAATTATGTGGAATCCTTGATTTGGATATATTATTTCCTTTAGTTTATGCCATCTTGGGATTAATTGGCTAGTCAATTATGTCATAAATTACATCTTTAGGTACACTTTGCGTGTACTTTCTGCCATCTTTTCTCAATGCCAAAAACAACCACTTCTTTAGCCAATAAAGTAATAAGGGAAAAAGGAAGGGGAAAATAAAGAAGATAAAAAGAGAAAGGAAAGTGGGCATGTTAGTCCAAACAAAATACCTTTACTATAATTGCGTAGAAAGAAAAGGTCGTAATATTAAAGTCTGATTTAAAATTTTAATTTAAGTTGAAATGTGATTTTATATGAGAATTTTTAATTGTAATAAAAAAAATTAAATATGACTATTTCTGTTAACTTTTTACTGTAATAAAATTTAAATTCTAAACTCAAATCACTAAAAAGAATAGGGTCTAAGTATATATGACTAATGTTATCTCTTAAATATTGCAGATGTCTTTGGCATCACCACTTGTAAGAAAGTATTTTTTTTTTTTCCTTTTGAATTTTAGGATTAATGGGGAACTCAACTCATTAGCTTTAACTTAAAGTGAACATAAAATTACCACTAAACTATTCATGTAATCTACTTTTTGTATATAAAATTTAATCAAAATCACATCAAAATAAATATACAAAATTAACAGAACTTCATATAAATATTACAGTTTAAAACATAACTCTATCAGTCAGATATTTTTTCTCTTTACCGTAAAAATCTAACCTATATATACATGCTGAAGAGTTAGGAAAGAAGATGAGATTGGGCAGGACAAATTAGAAAAAGTTGAAATAAAACAAAACCAACTGAGCCACCTTGAAACATTATTATATAGCAAAAGTTAGTTCTTTAATCCTCCCGCTTTTTTATTTTCTTTTTTTCCCCTCTCTAGTTAACTTTCTGTTAATCTTCATGGACCTAATTTCTGTCTATTACGGTCCTTTCAACCTTTATAAATAGACAAGTCCAATAGCACCGATATAATCTTTAAAAAAAAAAAAAAAAGTGAAGGACACAATATATATGCCTACACACACTTCCCTAATTTTTTTTCTTTTTTTTTTTAAATTTAATACGAGGGCAACTCATTAATAATTGTTTTGTAGTCATTATTACACTTTCAACCTACTAAGCAAAGCTACCATAGTAAATATTTTTTATCATGTATCTTTACAAAATAAAATATATAAAATAATACTCCAATAATTGGTTATCACCTCAGTGGCGATCATGTAACGAAAAAGCCTACATTTCCAAATGGCCAAGTCTCATTCATGTTTAGGCCACTTGGCCAAGTATTTTTTAATAAGTACAATTTAAATATTGATTTTATATTATTTTCTGCTTTTTCTTTATACCTTGAATGCTAAGTTGACGCAGCAATTTTTCGTCCGACATGGGGGGAATCCACAATACAGAATTATATCAGTAGATGATAAAAAAAGATAAATAATAATCCAAACCAAAAAGAAGGAAAAAGAAGAAAACAATTGGCTTTCAATATTACTAGCACACGCACACACACTTACGATGTGGCACGACTAGTAAACACGTATTCACCAGCTCACCAATCTTTTTATGCATCCTATTGAAATCAATATGGTTCCCAAATTACAAGTAATTACTTGCATCTATGTTTTGCAGTACATTATCTTCAGAAAAATGGAACTTATACATTAAGGTATCATTTAGTTTGCAGGTTTGAACAGAAATCAAGGCCGGCTCAAGTAATTTTAGGACCTTAAGTAAAAAAGTTTTAAGGGATCTTTTTCGATTTTTTTTTTTTTTAAAATCAGTTAAAATTTTAAAATTCAGTTAGAAGTTAGAAAATACTAAAGTGAACATTTTTTAAGAAGAGAAACACCTGTTTGCATAAGTAACAATTAACAAAAAAAAAAAAAAAAAAAATGTTAACATACGCATTTAAAAAGGAATCCTTTAGTTGAGTTGTTGTTTTCCTTAAGTTCTATTAATACTTAGGCCTCGTTCATTATATCGATTCGAGTTTTCAATTCAAGTTTTGCTACAATTAAAAGCTCTCACAAAAATTCACATCTAACTTTTCTGCTACAGTGAAAAGCTCTCACATAAAATCACATCTCAACTCGAATTGAGAACTCAAATTCGTGAACTGAACGAAGCCTTAATATTCATAGTAATTGATTGTAGTAGAAAATATGAGTTCCATCATAATTTAGAACGTCTTCTAAGATTCAGACAATACTTCTTCATTCCATTTCAAGTTAATTACTTTAATTTGTCAAAGTTGAGTAATAGTTCAAAAATACTTTCACATACTTGAAATTGCTTAAATCTACTTCACAAATGAAGAAATAGCTTGATAAGTTGTGCAAACAAAATATAGTCTAAAAGATCCTTCAATCAGTTATATTTTCATTATTAATGACATTTTCAATTATTATTTTCTATGAATCACATATCTACTTTTATGAAATTTGAATTTATTTTCGTCTTATTTGTAATTTATAGTTGAAATATAGCAAGTATAAATTCATTTTTTATATATAAGTTTGAGAATAAAAATGAGGCATTTTGATTAGATATTTATTTATTTTGAAAAAAAAAGGCCTTTTCAATTATAATTTGTGAGCCTTGGCTCAATCTGGGGTCTTAAACAATTACCTAAACTGTCTTATGGTTAAGCCGATACTAAGAAAAATTCAAAATTTTTGTAAAAGGAAATAATAGTGTAGCAAACCTATAAAACAAATACCGCTTAATTATCAAATAGTATTCCAACATAGACGCATACATACATAAATGTTTGATTCACTTAAAGCATGAAGAAAAAGAAAAAGGAAAAGAAAAAAAATAGAGGTGTCAAAATCTGAATTTTTGCAAAGTGAATGATAATATATGTATTTGGCCGTTTGTGAGCGATCTGCAGTACTGAGAACTTTAGTCGCTTTATAAATTGATGTGACAAGCAGTCCCCACTTTGACGAATTATTTACTTTGTTCACATTATGCAAATAATGACTCAGAAACGAAGCCTGTTTTAATTGCTTAAGGTTGTGGAGGAAGAAAGCAGTTGGGGAAAACTTTTTTGTGCTTGGCCTGATCAGATCATCAACTACCTTGAATAGTATTATAGCAAATTAAAGTGAGCTTCATGTTCTTAGATACCAAAGAAATATTAAATGTCATTACTTTAATATATGGTCCTCTTATCTCCTGTCACATTGGTTTGATTCAACTTTGTAATGCAAACCATAGATCTATTTGCCTTATTTGGAAAAAATATATATATATATATATTGGAAAGATTATCTAACAAACTGATCACACAACCTGTAAAGCTATCCAACTTTTTTCCCCTTTTCCGAAAGGAAAAAGAAGTTACCTCTCCCTTAAGCTATAACAACCGATATAGCTCAGTGCCAGTAAAATAGATATACCATGGCAAAGATAATAATTTAATTTTTTTTTTAATAGGATAAGTGTTTTCTTTTTGAATAAAGCTATAGCTAGTGATTACTATGAAAAAACGTATTAAATTGAGTATAGTTTTTTTTTTTTCTTTTTCTTTTTTGATTTTCATCACTGGCTTGCTTCAAGTGCGAAATTTAAAAAGAAGTTTGAAGGAATTGATAGTGAGTGGGGGAACAAATAGACGAAGCATATATCTATTGTAGCAAGTATAAAAGCATTCATGGTGATCTAAATTTGTATGAATTCTGCTAAGTGCTAACTATAATTGTCTTCTTTTTTTTCCTTTTTTAGTCGGATTTTATGTCGATAAGACTAATTAAATTACGGTTGATGAGGGAATGAATTATAGAACCTCTACTTAATTTCAATGAGAAGGCCGGCTTCTAGAAGTTGAGAGTCAAAAGCTGATGTTTGCAATTCGTGAATGTCAAGTGCCTGAGTGTCACTACTCGTGAGGTGGTTATTGCCTCCGTGTAATTGTCAGCATAACAAAATTGGTGAAAGCTCTCTGTATTACTGTAATTAGTTAGAGTTGTTATGCTCTAATATCTTGTAAAAACTAGGTACAAATTATAAGAATCACAGGTCTGAGGACATTTGGTTTATGTATTCAGAATTATAATTTAAAATTATTCTCGTTTTACGTGTATTTTTTATGAGAAAAAACACTATAGAGAACCATGAATCATGATTTAAAATTAGGGACGAATATAGAAAACAAACGTCCTTCGTATCTTTTAACTATATTTTTTCCGCGGATTCTCTCTCTCTAACGTATTTAGATCAATAGTTTTTTTTATTATTATTTAAATTTTTTATGCAACTGTATATTAGGAGTCTAATGAGACCACAAGTATAACGGAATGGCCAAAAGGAAGACTCTTGCTTAAGGACTTGAATCTTAAACGAGTAAAAACGAAGGCATCAAATAACATGTTGTTGAGCCGATTCCCCTTGATTCATCATGGTTCGTTTTACTTTTAAAATGGTGCGCTCTATGCAGTGGCGGAGTTAGTCTTTCACTTCAGTGAGAGTGTATATTAAATTTTTTTTAATAAATTATCTTAGTGAGTGTATATAAAAAATATATTTATTTTAGTGGGACATATATTATTTCAATAAGAGTTTAAATATAAAATTTTAAAATTTGTAAAAATAATATTTTTTTTTTAAATTTAAGTAGGGACAGAAATCCCTACTAAATTGTGACCCTACGCCTTGAGGGCTAAGTCACTATTACAACATCACGTATCTTAAAGACTTGTCTCACTATAAATGCTCTCTCTGATACCCCACACAAGACATGTTACAATCCACTATCGCACTTCTCAAATACCCTGCTAACCAGAACGTTAGAAACTTTTTCTTGGACAGGTGTTCGTGAATTCTGCTAAGTGCTAACTATAATTGTCTTTTTTTTTTTTTTCCTTTTTTAGTCGGATTTTATGTCGATAAGACTAATTAAATTACGGTTGATGAGGGAATGAATTATAGAACCTCTACTTAATTTCAATGAGAAGGCCGGCTTCTAGAAGTTGAGAGTCAAAAGCTGATGTTTGCAATTCGTGAATGTCAAGTGCCTGAGTGTCACTACTCGTGAGGTGGTTATTGCCTCCGTGTAATTGTCAGCATAACAAAATTGGTGAAAGCTCTCTGTATTACTGTAATTAGTTAGAGTTGTTATGCTCTAATATCTTGTAAAAACTAGGTACAAATTATAAGAATCACAGGTCTGAGGACATTTGGTTTATGTATTCAGAATTATAATTTAAAATTATTCTCGTTTTACGTGTATTTTTTATGAGAAAAAACACTATAGAGAACCATGAATCATGATTTAAAATTAGGGACGAATATAGAAAACAAACGTCCTTCGTATCTTTTAACTATATTTTTTCCGCGGATTCTCTCTCTCTAACGTATTTAGATCAATAGTTTTTTTTATTATTATTTAAATTTTTTATGCAACTGTATATTAGGAGTCTAATGAGACCACAAGTATAACGGAATGCCAAAAGGAAGACTCTTGCTTTAAGGACTTGAATCTTAAACGAGTAAAAACGAAGGCATCAAATAACATGTTGTTGAGCCGATTCCCCTTGATTCATCATGGTTCGTTTTACTTTTAAAATGGTGCGCTCTATGCAGGCAGAACTAGTCTTTCACTTCAGTGAGAGTATATTAAATTTTTTTTAATAAATTATCTTAATGAGTATATATAAAAAATATATTTATTTTAGTAGGACATATATTATTTCAATAAGAGTTTAAGTATAAAATTTTAAAATTTGTAAAAATAATATTTTAAAAAAAAATTTAAGTAGGGAGGGAAATCCCTACTAAATTGTGACCCTACGCCTTGAGGGCTAAGTCACTATTACAATATCACGTATCTTAAAGACTTGTCTCACTATAAATGCTCTCTCTGATACCCCACACAAGACATGTTACAATCCACTATCGCACTTCTCAAATACCCTGCTAACCAGAACGTTAGAAACTTTTTCTTGGACAGGTGTTCGAAACACGTCAAAGTATAGTAAGGAGACAAACAACAAAAGCGACGCGGTATATATTGGTGTTAGATGCTTTCTCTATGTTACTCTCTAAAGTTTCAAATCTTAAATCGTATTAATCGAGAATGTGGAGTTGAGATTGCACTTGGCTGTTGAAAATGGATATAAAAATTTTCTTCTTTAGCCAAAAAAGGAAAATTAAATATATATATACACACACAAACACACGACCATTTTCTTACGAAAGAAAATGTGGGTATTTCAGCTCAGGATAGGAGACAGATTGGACGCGTGTCGTTGGATCTCCATCACATTTTGACACAGCTGCTAATGTGTATAGCGTTTTACCTGGACCCACTTAACCTTTTTTTCTAGAAAGTGAAAGGTATTAAAATAATCAACGGTAAATTTACTTAAATTCTACCAGGCGGACGGACCTGCCCAACAGTCACCCACCAACAACAAGCCTCCACGTTTCACATCCGATTTCTCTCTTTTCATCGTAGAAAGAATGTCTACCTACATCTCGGCCACCCATTACGCCACTAGATGACGCCATCAGTGATGTTACTTTTTTTTATTTTTATTTTTGAATAATTTTTATTGCGAATATTCATTGTTTTTCAAAGAAAGAAGTGGTAAATGGTATGCATCAGACATTAGTCTGTCTCAGGTGGGGACTGGGAACAGTAGGGGACTCAAAAGAAGTGCATTATTTAAATCAGAGCAATGTTTCTCTGCTTTTTGTTGCCTTATAATTATAGTTCCTCACTGTCATTCCCTGAAATTTTGGCTTCCAAACTTCCAAAACTCTAGGACTGTTTCAATACTTTCCTCTCTCTCTCTCTCTCTCTCTCTATCTATCTCTCTTGGGTCCAACAACTTCCATTTTATGGTATTAGCATTTGATCGGAACGGTTATAGTAATCCCATTTCACAGAGAGAAATGCAAAGTAGTATTTCAAAGCTCAAATCTTTTCTAGTGTTTTCAGTAACCAACAACACTTGAGAAAACCATGATTAGTATTCATTAAAAATAATCCTTTTCTTCCTTTTTCTTTTTTCTCAGCAACCAAAAGAAGATTTATCTCTGAATCTGAGCATGTTGTTAGAGGTAATTATAATATGTTTTAAGTCTTTCTCTTCTCTGCTAAGCAATTGTATTTTATTTTCTACAAAGCTAACTTCTAGATCATCTCAATAAAAGGAACACTTTTTTTTTTCTCTTCTGTTCTTTTTCTTGATTGGCCTGATTTTATTTATTTTGCAAGACTTTTTAGTTGATAATATAGTAAGTTACTCCAGTTAGTTGTTTGACAGATTATGATTGAATGAATGAGCTCTTTACCAGCTCAGTTTACGACTTCAAGGCCGATGGGGATATATGAGCCATTCCGACAGGTTCCTATGTGGAAAAACACCTTTGAAAATGATCACATCTTGTTCGCATCTACTTCTACAATTGTAGACGTTGAGCCTAATCAAGAAAACAAGGTAAACTAAATTACTATTATTAGTTAAACAAAATAAAATAAAATAAATATATATATATATAATCAAAATTCTTAGAGTACTAATTACTGATTATTGATTTCTCTAGGTTGATGTCATTTCTCGTGCATCAACGGCACCGCCTTCCAGTAATGAACAAGAAGGCAACAAACCTCTTGATGATAAGGTTACAGATTATGTCACTTCTCATTTCAGTTTCCTTTATGACAACTTTTTTTTGAAATTTGTTTTTCTAATTGTGTGTGTATCTTCTGTTTGTAGGTACAAAGGCGGCTGGCGCAAAATCGCGAAGCTGCTCGAAAAAGTCGTTTGAGGAAAAAGGTGACAATAAATGCTTTCCCCCTCCAGTGATTTTTACTCAATCTTAGGAGTTCAATTAGATGTTTTTTTTTTATTTTATTTTTTTTATTTTTTTATTTCATTACATTACTGTACCATAGGCTTATGTCCAGCAGTTAGAAACAAGCCGGTTGAAACTGGCGCAAATAGAGCAGGAGCTTGACAGAGCTAGAAAGCAGGTAAGGTGAAAAATAAAAATTAAAAAAATAATAATAATAATTATAATAACTATAACAAGAATAACCTCCCTTTTCAGTTTCTTCTTTTTATTACCAAATGTATTTCTCATATGGTATATGACAACTTTCTATCTAATACGCCACTAACTGTAAAATTGCAGGGTGTCTACTTAGGCAGTACTTCATTAAGCAGTAGTCACATAGGAAATTTTGGAACTTTAAACTCAGGTTTGTATTCTAATCCCCAGTAATCAATCTCATAATTCGCACATAAATCTACGAAATCTGCGATTAGTTTAAGAAAAAAGTGGTGATAATTACCGGAAGTGATATTGATGCGAATGGTTCTGGCCGTCGGATTTTAGGGATCACAACATTTGAAATGGAATACGGATACTGGGTTGAGGAGCAGCACAGGCAAAATAGTGAGCTGAGAAACGCGCTTCAAGCCCGAGTAACCGATGTGGAGCTCAGTATGCTTGTAGAAAGCGGCTTGAACCACTACTACAACCTTTTTCGCCTTAAAGAAGATGCTGCGAAATCCGACATTTTCTACTTAATGTCTGGCATATGGCGTACGTCCGCCGAACGTTTTTTCCTTTGGATCGGAGGATTCCGCCCCTCGGAGCTTCTAAATGTAAAAAAAAAAAAAAAAAAAAAAAAAAAAAAAAAAAAAAAAAAAAAAGAAAAAGAAAAAACAACTGCCATTCTATTCTCTTACTATGGTCTTTTTTGGTATCACTTTCATTTTTGCTCTTCACTAGCATATTGCATGAATGAATGATAATACTAATTTCTAGTTCCCTATTAATGAACATCATGAATCAGGTGGTTATGCCACATATAGAGCCGTTGAGCGATCAACAAGTTGCGAAAGTGAATACCCTGCGACAATCATCTCAGCAGGCAGAAGATGCTCTGACGCAGGGAATTGATAAACTCCACCAGACCCTGGCCTTGAGCATGGCATCTGATCCTATGAGCGAAGGTGGCTACGATTGTCAAATGGCTTCTGCAGTTGAGAAGTTGGAAGCACTTGAGAGTTTCGTCAACCAGGTGTGGTGCAACCGTTAGGATGCCTTATTTTCTTCTTTACGGATTCTTTGAGACTCAATATTTCATAACCGTACTTTAAGGTCTCCCTGTCAATATGCTAGTTTGATCGGAGCGAATCTGAGCCCATTCTGTGAGAAGAATGAAATCAGGTCCTTTTCATTTTATTGATTAACCCTTGAATTCCTACCGTAGATGAAAGGGACGAGAAGGGGATGATACTAATAATTCCCTTTTTATTCAGTAAAAAATAGATGACATTTACAAAGATTTTCATGACACGTTAACCTTCTCATTGAACTTGCTATTTCTATGTACTCATATTTATGAATAATATTTGGGACACTAACTTATGCAACAAAATTATGTGCGACAATTTTTGACTATTTAAAGCTACAACAATGAGGTTAAAAAACTGTCACATTACTTGGTGTGAAAATATTGGTGCAAAAATTAGGATCCTAGTATTACCCTGTTGTCACTTTGAGATAAGCTTGGTTTTGATTCAGAATGCTTGGTAATTGAATGGGAACAGGCAGATCACTTGAGGCAGCAAACGATGCGGCACATGTCTCGCATCCTAACGACGCACCAAGCTGCGCGCGCCTTGCTTGCATTGGGGGAATTCTTTCACCGTCTTCAAGCGCTCAGCTCCCTTTGGGCTGCTCGTCCTTGCGAACCAGCCTAGCCAATCCACCATGCCGGTCGGCTTCATAAATCTGCATTTTGGATTTAGTTTGGGAAACATGCATGCAATTTCTTAACTATCAATTTGGCAAATATATATATATATATATATATATATATATATATATATATATATATGTGAATCATATATGTGTATATACAGAGAAA